AACACAAATCTTACTTTTAGTGAATATATTTTGGGGAGAAAAAAAAAAGGGAAACGCCCCCCCCCCCAATATGGATACACACTGCATCAACACATAGGTAGGGTGATCAAGTGACAGAACATTAGTATGCGTGCAGGTAGGTAGGTATGCATACAAGTATTCTTCCTGAAGAGGCAATCTGATAAAATAGTTTGTTCCCAGATTTCAGCTGTCGGTCTATGCCCGCTGCACCTAATTACTTCAAATTGTCAAGCTGTTTTGACACAAGAGTCACTTCAGTCACTGTCTGGGAAAAAAGGTATTTCAAGCAGAACCCTCATTAATGACCACACCAAGCCTTTCAGTTAGCTACTGAAATGCTCCATCGCATATAATGAGCCAAACCACAAAAACACCAACAGAATTGGGGACCAGAAGCCCTAGCAGATGAGAACTACTGAAGACAAAATTGTGCGATTTGAAGCATGACTCGCTTTGCTTTTAAATATTTGTGCAAAACTTACGTAATGTTTGTATATAAAAATTATTACAGCTTTCAATGCCACAGTTAGCAGTGTTAACTTAGAAAAGACAAAACGATATGCTGTATTCTCCCCAAACCTTTCAACCATCATCTTAGTCTTCATTTGCAAGTGTCTCAGTGGATAGCCAGATTTTGGCACCGCTTAAAAACTTGCTCAACGGTGTTCCCAGAATGCTCCGTCTGCACAGGTTCCCTACAGGAGAAAACGGGAACGAAGAGGAGAGAAAGTCTGGGGCCCCAGAGGTGTCATTTAAACCATTTGCTCTGAAGTACATCCTGCTTTGATCCAGTTCCGAGCAGTTGCCTTGCAAAGAAGAGTTGCTTTTGTACTGCCGAAGATTGCGGTTTAACATGTCTACTTCATCTGCCAGCAAAGAAACTTTATGGAAAGCAGTGATGAAGCCACCGTGATGAATCTGGGCCTCGGGAACCCAGCGGAAGTAGCACAGTTTCCACAGTTTTATTTGTGTTCCAGAGATACGGGGTAGAATTACGCCATGCAAGTCAACAGGCTTTGCAAACCAGTCTCTGAAGTACTGTTCCATACTGTTACTCTGACTCTCTGTTTGCTGTAAAAAGTCCGGTTTCAGCTTTAGTATCAGAGAGTTTCTTCTTGGAAGGAACTCTTGCTCGCTGATGATCCCATTTTTTAATGCTGGGGGGACACCTCGCAATGTGGAGCTGTAGTTTTTCTGCAGAAAATAAATACTGGTAATTTTCCAGTTTAATGTTAATTTGAATAGCAGATTTCCCTGAGCTGCTAGGATGCATCATCCAGGCAAATGATGTGTCCTTTAAATAGTTCTGAGCTTGTGAGTTGCTACTGCAGGGCTCACAGGGTAAACTGTGGCCACCTGTGGCCTTTAAAAAGTAATACATGTTTTCTAGACTTTCTAAAACAACGAATAATTGAATGAATCGGTATTCACTGAAAAAAATTACAACCCTGAGGGGAAAAAAAGTGGCACGTCATCACTTTTCTATAGGTGAGATAATGCAAATGTCGGCAGTGAGCTCAGCCATAGCAGAAAATGTCCCGGAACACAAGGCTCAACAATTCACATCTTTACTTCTACAGAAAATCATTCCTTTAGGCTGGGAAGCTAAAAGAACTAATGCTCCCATTGCTAAACTGAGGGTGTAAAATGCTATATAACTGTAAATTTTTAAGCCTTAACACCTTACGGTTAAGCACAGAAACAGTCCATTCACGGACAGATAGCACTATAGTTACCTTTGAGCGTTTGAAAGTTTTCACTGCTCCATTTTGTACATACGGTGCACTCTTCCCAATATACAACGGGTTGTGAAAGAGCAGGCGATCCCTGCTGGTAAACTGCAGGGACCAGTCCCAAACACAAGGAAATTTGAGGCCTTTCTCATCACCCAGTTGAATATTTTTGCTTATGGCAAATTCCTGCAAGAAGTTAACATTCAGGCATATTAAAAATCAAAGAAAATAGACTTATTCACAAATCCTAATTATAAACCAGTGCGTAACTATAGGGCAAAGAAGAGCAGGGATATACTTTAGAGGTGGCTGCAGATCAAAGCAACAGAGCAGCAAGACAGTCTGCTGCTGGAGAGAATGGCTCTTCTTCATCTGTGCAATGCAGAGGCAGGACTAATGCTTACTTTGCAAAAATTACACTGCAATGATACTAAATTGTTTGTTCGTTTACTCTCAACCCTCCTCAAATTGTTATTTTGAGAACACACAAATGGTCCCTCAGTGCTCTACTACTTTGTAAGGTTAGAACAACCTACAACTTTAAAGGGAAAACATTTAACAAAATAAGTAAGTCTTACTTTTATCAACTGTCAAGTGTTTTTTTTTCACACATTCTGACAAGCTCCAGTTTTCAATAACCTATTTAAGTGTTCAGTTTTCTAAATACCTTCATTGTGCATTACCATCTGAACTTTACACAGTCTTTTCCAACTATTTAAACAATTATAGCAAGAGATTTCAAATTTTGCCTGAAGTGTGAAATTGTATTCATTGCCTGTCATTCTGTTTTATCCGTTGCAGATATAAATCTGTTTCCTAGAGGAGCATAACTAATAATGTACAATAACAATGTGTTTCTAGACAAAAATTAAAAAGAAAATCAATAGAGTTTTTTTTTTAATAGTTACTGTCTATGCAAAGATCTCCTGAAAGGACATCCTGATCACATTCATCTGGGGAGCTGAATATTTTGCCCGGAACAGAGCATGACATTTTGAAAAATACAAAGGAATGCCATTTAGTTGAGATGATGTTATTTCCAGAAGGGCATGCTGGAGTGTCTTATTTGAAAAGTAGGTGTAACACTTCATACTCACAGTGCTTTCCTTTACTCGCTGGTGAGGACAATTGAAAAGGAAAGTGCCAAACAATGAGATACGTGCACTGTCGTACAATATGGTCAAGTACATCTCAGAAAACTCGAAGGCTGCTGGGTATTGTTCTAGCAGCTGCCAAACACAGTCAAGAAACATCAAGAACAAAGGAGACTGGGAAAAGAAACAGAGAATTATTAGATTTAACATAAGCTCTTCCCAAGTCATACCAATTTCTGGGCAGTTAGTGCTCCATTAGGGTATTTAGCTCTACCTCTGGTAACATTCCTCAACAGGGCAAACTCTCTGGAGTATTGTGGGTTTTATGATTTTATGCCACTGTTAATACCCTCTATTCCCGTTCAGCCACTTTCACAAGCAACTATGTCAACTGGCTTCCTCCGCACTACCTTGCCACAGCTTTCCCTTCTCTGCGAGAAGCCAGTCAGTTCGTTCCTGGGCTCTCTCCATACTCATGTAGCTGCAAAAATGCTTTCTGCCATCTTGTGCATCCCTCATAGCTCCCAAATTAGCGCTTGCTTACTACTTGGCCTTATTTTCACAATGTAGATACTTCCTTCTTGTTTGAAATGACTGGCGAGCTTATGATTCAGCCGCGTGAACTTCCCACTACACTTTCTAGCTCTTCCCACAGTAGCCCATGAAGGGCAAAAGTATAAACTATCATTTATATAAAGCTTTAGAAATATATCCCTCTTCCCAGCTCCCCTCTTCTGTATATCCTTTCGTATGGTCAAAATACCTGCTTCCTTATGATTTCCCCCTTGGCATTTCGGTTTCTTTATCCCTTCATGCATTTTCTCTGCTTAGCGCTCAGTGTCCTCAGTTTATCTGTTGGCTCCACTCTTTGGGGAGATTGTTTTTCTATTATTTTTGGGCATTGTCCCTGAAAAAGGCTGCAGACCTGGGGTCCTCTGTTTCTCCAACTGCAATTGCAAGTCTCTCCTTTGCAATGAAGAGGCCAAGTAAGATTAGCTGGAAATACTGCAAATCAAGCACTGTACTACCCTCTGTTAATCTGTGTACCAGGTCATAAAGCTGCAGTGCTTCTCTATCAGCTCAAAATTTTGAAAAGTACCATGTATTGATACAACTTTGCATTCAAAAAAACGGCGATGAGAACAGATACCCTCGGTAAAACAAACCAACCCCTCCAAAACCACTCCCAACCCCCTTTTTCATTTTAAAAGGTGGGCTGCGTTAGCATTTATAACAGTGGGCCCTTTTCCTGTGTAACACTGAAGCAACCTGAAAACCCAGCACCTGGTATTTCACTGATTCTCACGTAAGAAAATCTCTCTCTATCCTCATTTTCTCTAACATTAGTTTCATGAGATTTGAAAATTTTAAAAAATATTTTTACTTTTAGATTTCTGTGTGAATAAAGGTTCAGGCTGCTATTAACCAGATACAGTTATCACATACAAACACAATTCATTTTTACCTCTTTGTCAGATCTCTTTAAGTGGTTACACCTATCTAAAAACTGATATCCTGCCATGACCCATTCCTTCTGTATTAAGCTTTGAAATCCAACAATTGTTCGAAAATAGGGATCCAGCATGACTTGAATGAGAGAAGCAGCAAGACAGGTCAGGTCCCGTCCTTCTTCCTCTGTGAATAACATACAGAATGTATGAAATATATAAGGTACATATGCACATACACAGAATTAGAGCTCAAAAAGCGTCACCTAGGTTTAGTGTTTTTTTTAAAACACGCTCTTTGCTGCTGTAATTGTTCTTACAGTTTCCAAAGAAACTAGAAGAAAAAAACACCTTTGTTTTTTAACCTGGGACTCATACAAAAGGTTCCTGCGGTATCCAGCACAACAACGCATTCATCAAGAACAAAATACCCACCCAAACGCCTGGTATTTAAACCAAGATGTGCTGAGAAGGAGGGTGTTCATGTTGCTAGAAATTTTCCACCCTGAAGCATTTTTTGGAAGGCCATTATATGGGAAGAGTGGGATATACCAGCTGAACAGGTCTCGTAAAAATTACAGAATTTCCAATCTCAATATGAGCAAGTTTCTTCAGTGTTGTCTTTTTCTGGAATATCTGTTTGCACTTCCACAACAGCAGCAGCCACTGTTAGTGAAATACTTTTGTAAATAGGACCTCTGAATAAAACTGATATTGCTTATGCAAGGAGTATTGGCCCAATTAACACAGTACAAAAGTTCACCTTAAAGTTTTGATTCTAACATATCGTTATCAGAATAAAAACCACAAAGTTTCAAAGTGAAATATTCCTTTGATGCTATGGACTATACTACAGTTCAGATAAATAACAAAATTATTTTCCTTTCTAGTTCTAAAATATTTAGAAGCAATGAGGTTTATGTACAAAGATTATAGTTGATTTTATCTAAATGTCTTTACCTACATTACCACACTACCGCTAAGAATTACAGCATGCAATATGGTTGTATTACCTTGCAGAACTACAGAAACGTGCTTACACTCCATCATATATACAAGCTCAGCAGAATGCTTAAGAAACGATCTAGACGGGAAAGGAAAGTGATACAACAGTTAATGTAACAGGTTCACACTCTAGAAGAAAAAAGTATTTGGGCTATCTACATTTACCAAATTAATATATTAAAACAGAGAATCCTTCAGCTAATTGACTGCTTAGTTACACCGGTGACAGTTTTTCACATCTCATTAACCATCATTTCATTAAGAGTACAAACCTAATATACTCTAGCCAGTGAGTATTTTCCAGTGAGGATAGCCACTTCTCTTCAGTTTCTTCAAAAGGCTCTGCAACAAGGAAAGTAATTACATTGCAGAACAACTTCGAATAACTATTCCTGTTATTCCAATTCTATTAGAATTTGTTGTTATTTCAAGAAAATAACCACCATGAAAGAAGGACAGCCCAGCATACCATTAACACACAGCTGTTTGAGTTTGATATGTGCAGCCTGGATTTCCTGGATGTTGGGGAGACACTTGTCCAGATCAGACTTGTAAACGTCACTTCTCAGGGGATGGCTTCGAGTTATCGCATTACAAATCCTAAATAAGAAAAAGAATCAGCCATTTCATTACTGGAGATGAGAGAAACAGTCTTTCAAGAAACATGCCACAGTCTTTAACTGCAAACAACTAAAACCACATAAAACATGCATCTCATTTAAAAAAAACACCACCAAAACAAACTTTTCTAGTTTACATTCAGGAGATGCATTGCTCCTGCCACAAAGCTATTGACTCAAATATTTTTGGTATCTGCTACTTAGGAAACAAAATAATGGAAACGCTGGATCATTAAAACAACATGTTTGGGAAATGAAAATCTGAGGCTGACTTACGGTTAAATAGCTCTATTCAATTTTTAATTTTCCACAATTTTTAGCAAGAGTTGTCTCTGCTAAATAATCAGAACATATATAAAGTTTATAAAGCCAGGAAATCTGATGGGGTTTCAAATAAAACTCAAGTGCTCCAGCCTAACGTGCAATGCAAGTATTTGTACTACTACAAAAAGTCACCCTACAAATTAAACCAAGGAACCAAAAATACCAAGCTAGTAAACTATTTACGCAAGGCACTAAATGCCTTCATCTTTCATCAAGGACAGTGAATGACAAATATTTCACAAAAATCCTGCGTGCATTGTGGCACTAAATCTATAGAAGGGTATTTCCCAACGCCACAAATAAATAATTTGTACTGTGTCTTGCTGAAGCAGCTAAATAAATCTCCACCAACATAAGCTGTATTACTGTCACATCAATAGAGCAGATTAAGTCTGATCCTTTTATCAATAAATGCTGTCATCTGAATGACTAGCCGCCAAAAAATAAACATCCCTGAAAATTTGAAAATTATTCAGCATTTGAACTGAAGTGGACCTTGAATAGAAATTGTGTCAGAACTATATTCAGAGAACAGTTTCTCAAAATCTGCTGCACTACAACATTATAAAGCCAGTACCCTCTCAGTTAGCACTTGCTGCTGTACGTTACACACAGTCACCGCTTGCGTTATCCTACGCATCTGATTAAAGAATAACGTAACTCATCATTTACCTTTGATCAATTCTTCTTTGTTGCAACACATCTTTAATGTTGGCCATTCTTACAAGGGCACTCCCATTAGGGTGATTCCAGGACCATAACTAATATGGGAAAAAAACACAAAGGAAACAAAATAATGCAGGTTAGTGTTATTCCATAGAAATTGTCTTCTTAATGCTACACACAAAACTATATTAATTGGCATACATATCTATAAGATTAATATTGTACAATGATCAATAGCAGTCAGAGAATAAAGATTACACTTACTGGCATTCGTCTCCCAATGAAAGAGTAGGAATATAGCTTGAGGTCTTGATCTGCTAAGGAAGATGGAACCACAAAATATTCCGGAAGGCTTGGGGAAAAAATATTGATACAAAAGGTTACTTCTCCCTACATATTTTACCAGGTTTTCTCTTGTTGCAATGTTGTCTTACCAACTCTGTTAAACTATAATGCACCAGCCCCTATTACCGCAGTGCTAACCGGTTGTCCTGTATGTCTGCATGATCTTGCGTATCATTGGGACAGCTCAGATGTTTTTGTTTAGAAACGTGCATGTTTCAGAGGGAAGTACAAAGGCATGAAAGCAACAGATGCCCAAAATATGACATTTCCTTTAATGACAACACTTGCAGGATCTTTCAACTGAGGGCCTCTCCAGAGAGTGGCACATTTAAGAGGTGAAGTGCACAGTTTGGTAGAGGAGACAGGAAAAGACAGTATAATTGCCTTGTTTTCTTCTACTTGCGTTACAAGAGAAACTTACCAAGTAGATATCATATAACCTTCATTGACTGAACAAACTCTCCACTCTGATGCACCTGTCCTTTTGATTTCTCTATCCCAATCAGAGTAAGTTTCAAACAAAGGTGTCTGCTGACCACTGGCACTGCCGATGCCACCACCACCACCTCCTGGGTCTATTCCATTCACCTTCTTTGCTAGGAAAAGAAAATTCATCAATGCACACTTAAAAAAGAAGAGAAAAAGAATCAAACTCTTCACCTTCCTAATTACAAGAATGAGCCACTAGCATCAGGACTAACGATAACTATTTTTAGAATTCAACAGATCAGTGATTTAATGACAGCTTGGTGATACATGAAGATACAAGTGTATTTTCTCCTGCAATTTCAACAAAGAAGGAACACAGAATTGGTATGTTGTGCCGCTTGACAGAAAGCAAGACATACTAACACTCAGGAACAAATGTTATCTTCAGTCACTAGACTTCTCTCTTCAACATGCCTAAGTTAGCAGCATTTTAAAAACATGTACTGTTTAATTAGGTACCTTATGAAGAAAGCAAAATAAAGACTCTATAATTTCAACAGCTTTAAGTGATTGCTGTATTAACAGCAAATAAAATAAATTGAAAGCCTGGTTAAAATATATTTTTTTTTTTATATATATGCAAAAAGATGGCCTACCATTTTGTGGCCAGGGACCAAGAAGATATATAGTCTGTTACTAATACAGAAGTATTTCCTTTGCTGGTCATTCTTTAGGTGCCAAAGAGGCAGTCAGCCATGTCAAAAGAGACTACATTTTGTTTCTTGACACTTGGAAGTAAATTTTTAGATGAACATTAAATAGACTGAGACTCAACCCTGTTACCTCCCCCATGAAAGCTCCTAGCTTTAGCAAGAGTCTGTAAAGATGGAAGTGCCTGCCCAAACAAAGCAGAATAGAGGGTCATGGCTCTACTCTCATCTCAGTGATTTCTGAAGAAATTTTTCAATTTCAACTTCCTGTGTCTATCAACTTCCGTCTTGCACTAGTACTCGGACTACTTATGTTTTCAGAAGAAAACTGGACTAAAATCACAATGAAGTAGTTGTTCAAAGACAATATACAGAGAAATACAATAATTACCCAAAAATATTATAATTTTACTGTTCAATGGCAGAATATAATTATCAATTATAGCCTGGGGAAAAAATGATGTACATATACACCAGAGCAATGCAGGCTCTTTATGTTCCTCAGGAAGCACAAAGACAGTATCTCAACTTATACTTTACTGGCACTAGCAGGGATAGAGTCTGATAACCACAGTGCTGGAATTGTAAGAACAAAGCCAGAGATCTATGTTACAAACACCAGGGTTCACAACAACAACAACAAACCCCACCCAAACCAAAAGTATTTCAAACTCTTTTCTCCAGCAACTACAGCACAGCAGAACAACTATCTTTTGCCATTCCGGTCTGCTGCTCCAGAGAACAATTTTTACCCACCTTATGTAATTCTTCCACTACGTATTTTTCCATACAGCAAACGGTATTTTAAGGACAGAGTAAAGGCAACTTTGTGACGACTAACATTTTGTTCACACTCCACTTCAACATTTTGTTGTAATTTTATCTGCAAATTGGCTTCCTCCCTACTACTTCATAACGCTAAAGTACACGGACCTTAATAACCGCCCAAGTTTTATCAGGTAAGCAATTATATGTGTAATTATGTGTGCAACAATCACATGCACATTTATTTTTGTGCATGCACAGGGCAGTCATGTAGGCACCTGCATGAAAAACATGCATTTTCGTGCAAATTTGAAGGCCTAAGCTCATAATTCCACGACATTCAAATTCTGTAACAGGCTGATCAGTGGTTTCTAATGCCAGCTGCTGAGTGAATATTTCAGTACCACAGAACTACGTCAATGGCACTTTCTCTACTTGGAGGCTTATTATGCTAGAGCTGATGGTTTTCAGCTGTGTATTGGCCAGGGAACACTAAGCAGTGACCGCACAGCATTACACTAGAAATCAAGTTCCAAAGGCATCTTTTTCAGGCTTACCTAACTGACAAGGTTCAGTTGGAGATTGGCCTTGAGCAGAGAGGGTGTGCTCCAACTCAGCAGGGGTGGTGGAGGTTTTGAGTGGTAAGAACTGCCTAGTAAGCCTCTAGGAAAGAAGGTATGGAGTCCCAAGTTGCACAAATCCTCCTGCAATACCACCAGAAGAGAAACTTATTCCCAAAAGAAGGGCAGGTGAACAAGCCTGCCTGATGGGAGATTAGCTGGGTACCTAGAGTACCAATATAGGCATACAATAGGAGGATCGAAGCGTGAATTGAGAAATAGGAGTATTCATGCTGACGTAAGTGCTGACATAGGTAGTTTTGTTTCAGACAGGAAAGACATTTCTTTCGATTTTGGTCGTTAATGTCTATCGCAATGAATGACTTACATCCAAAAGTAAGAGGTTGGGTGCAGGACAAGCCAATTTTATTACCCCTGGAGAAAGCCTCAAATACTTTTTGCCACTGCTTCTAGAAGACAGAAGTCTTACTAAAATTACATATTATGAAATAGGAAAAAAAGAGTCATCAAAACACTTTCATGCTTACCTGGATTATGGTATATTTCGCCAACATACTCAAATGCAAAAAGAAGCTGAAGATCTGTTGGCTGAGAATAATGAGCTATTGCAAGGCACACCTAAGAAAGAAACATTTATTACTGTTATTTACAGACACAAAATTTATTGCCCTTAATTATGACAGTATGAAATACACACAGCAAAAGTTAAAAATCAGTCTTCTGATATTTTATTTCAACATTTTGAGAAGAGTCAATTATATAGTTAAACATACTCATATTTGCCAAGAGACCATTACTGTAATCACAGTAAGTGGATTCGTGACCGTCTATCAGGAGTGACTAACTGATAAGGGTGGACTAAGTTTTTGCAAGAAAGGTCAGGCTGCAACAGGCATCCCTAAAAATGATTCTCTGTATCAAGAGAGACAAGCAAGGACTTTGGCTACTCTGCTGTGCCTGCCTACCAGCATACAGATGTAAGGAGGAGAACAGAAAAAGAAAAGAGCACAACACACAGGTGGTGAGCACAGTACAGCAAAATCTCATTTGTAATTGGTCTTTTGATAATTATTTTTTTTTAAATGAAGAGTGCATGTCAACATAGCATAAGAACATTAGAATGGCCATACTGAGTCAGTTCAAAAGGTCCAACACTGTTCCTGACAGCGGCCAGCAACTGATGCTTAGGGAAGAGGGTAAAAACAGAGAAAGCATATAATGAAATGTTACCAGGATATTTTTCAACAGTTAAAACCAGTTTTTTCAGGTACCACCTGAACTAAAATCTGGTATCAGTATTCAACAGCATTTGACAAACTTCTTCTACAAAGCTGTCAGTTGAGCCAAGCGTTTTTTGAAGTGCGACTTCCCTTTATAAAAGCCCTGTTGGTTCTTCCCTAAAGTATCATATTTAACCAAAAGTGTCTTGTTAAATTTTTATCATCTTTCCACTAATTCACCCCATATAGGCGTCAGGCTTACCAGTCTGCATTACCCAAAACTGTCAAAAATTTCTGCTCTTGGAAGGGAAAACAAGAGGTTATTCTTTGAAGACTTCCGTCATGACCTATGTCAATCCTACGTATCATTAAGCGGTATTCCAAAATTACAAAGGGAATTGATGAATATAAATGAAAAGCAAGCTGTCTGGTAATAAAGAACAGCTCTTCCTCCAAGTTACTTGGAAATAAGTAGCAACTGACGGTGGGAGATGTTTTCTTCATGTTAATCACTTGTAGTTTGTCAGATGAATGGCAGGCCAAAGATTATCCATCAATCTCCAATTTCAATAAAAAGTGAGTTTTTAGAGTAGGTCCTTTTGCCAAATGTGAGGGATCTACAGTTAAACATGCCAGTCATCACCCCCTTCCCAGTCCCCAGCTGATCTTGAGAACTGAAACATAAGCCAAACTTTCTGAGGGTAGCAAGATGTCAGCTTCATTAAATTTTGGTCTAGCCCTTACAGGTTCTGCCCCAGATGAGTGGATTTCATTCACAAATGAAACCCACGCGTAACTTCTAGATGCCTGCAGGTTTATAGCAAGCTCCAACACTGTCTCTGACAATCTGATGCATTAATCAGGTTTAACCAGGCTGAGTCACAAGCCCTGCCCTGGGAATGGAAATTCAACAGAGATTTAAAAAGAGAGAGATGCTTGGGGCACAAGGAAGAGTCTTGCCTAAATCTTCACATTCTCTGCAACAGTCTCGGGACCAGCATCATGTAAGCAACGGGTCTTCTGCCCATATAAATTGCTCATTTTGGTAGAACCCTAAGATTATTAAGAATGCAGCACATGTTTTAGGATTAGATACTAGACTTCAAACACAGTTATGCTTTGATAGCCTTTGTCTCTTTAAATGTGGATCTTCACTAATAAATACAAAAGATTTGACAAAAAAACTAACATCTAGAAGACTGAAATCCAGGAAGAAAAAAACAACTTTCAAGTAGAGACTGGCACTGTTGTTCTCCAAATTTCAGGACTAGATTTGGAATTTTTAGCTTTGCCTTCTTCCCTCAGTATTTGCTTCTCCATTTTACTAAAATGTACCTGCCTTATCACTACAGAAAATACTTAATGAAAAGGAGGTTATAAAACACAAAACTTTATCGAACATGTTCAGATACAGAAATTCCATGTGACAGAGTTTTTAGTTAGGGAACAAAGACATTGTATAAGTTCATCTTATCATGACCTAAAAATTTTCCATTCCGTTTTCTTCCTTCCCTTCAACTCTCCATGACGTTTTGTATTTGGCAATATGTTGACACAATTTATTCACTGCTTAGCAGCTTTAGATATTATTTTTGGAAAACATTCTGTGCATCCAAGAAATTGTTTTCTGTTAGTGAAGGAAAGTTTTCTTATTGTCATAGACATAAAAGAAATATTTGTGTGACATACAACTGAAGGAATACTACTACTGGCAGCATTGTGCCACAGGGAAAAACTTGGGAACTTGCGTATGCTGTGTTCTGCATGGAGAAAGTTATTGTACTTTTACTAGCTTGTATGCAACAGATATGGCATTATGGTACCTTCCCTATATCTTTATTTACTTTGGCTTTTGATGGGGACATTCCTCACTATTTATGAAACCAGTAACGACTGTAGACTAACTTGAGTTGAAAATGGTTTTTCACAAACACTTCCCAACAAAAGAAATCCTATTGAGTCTTAGAAGAATAGTTGCTTTAACTTTTCTCCCCACACTTTCAGTTCCACAGTGAAGCTGCAAAAGAAAACACAGGATAGGCCATTCGGGGCAGGGGCGGCCGCAAAAAACGCAAATAGTAAAAGCATCACCAGGAAGTTAGTCTAGCATGACTTTTCAAATGAATATTTATAAGCTTAGTTCCAGGATTTCGTGAAACATTTAATAACTACCATGAAGTAAGTGGAAGCCACGCACTCGTGATTTTACTGTACAAATCAAAGCTGAAGAAACCAGCTATTCCATTATACTTGGCCTCTTCTAAGAGACTACTTTTGCCTATCACTCAAAATGAAACAAAATGGAAATCTGCGTACATACACATTTTGACTTTCATTTTTCTATGTAACTTTTCACTACCTAGTTACTACTACTAGTAACTGATATTAACAGAGCTACTCCTCATCTTCATTTACGGGAGTAAAGGATGAAATCCTTTTACTAGGCTGATCTACTCTCGAGGATGAACTGCAACATTAAAAAATTCCACTGTGCTGCCAAATAACACAATAGAAGTACAGTAAAACCTATTTTTAAAAGCTGCAGCTGAAATCTCTGTCATTTACTTGCCACATTTGAGAAAAAGAGTATGCGCGTGCTGTGTTAAGAGGGGTAAAATTGCAGAGGGCGATGGTAAGCATTCAGATCTGATTTGCAAAAAAATGAGACCATAGCTGTGTTTTTGAACACAGCACCTGAAAAATGCTCCCAGGTGTTCCACAGTATAAACATAACTCACAATACCAGGTATTGCATGGGTGAAACAGTCCACCTGTAGATTACAATACAGGTTCAGGACCTCTACTTCCATTATTAAAAAAAAGTACTATATTTATCCTGCTACCACCTTCATTTTTACATTTTAGACAAATTCCACTCATATTTACACTAAACAAGTGTTAAAGACATGTTCATTTTATTCCTCACTAAATCCATGTAGTAGTTTTATTGTCTGAAAGTTTCAAATGACGAGCACATTCCACAGATCTCAGCAGATTATCACCGTAAGTAGAAAGCTCTTCTACTGGAAGACAAACATGTTTTACAGGAAATGTTCTCATATCAAACTGAAAAATGTTTGGTATTCTTGCCAATTTACAATTGTGTAAAGCTGCAGATATTTAGGCTCAGTCAAATCCAAGAGAATAGGCTGCTTGTTGGAAAGTTCATTTACTAACAACAGTAAACACAATGGCTGTAATTATTTCATAGTACAAAGGCCATTTCCCTATGTCAGTGTTCCCTTTTCAACCCCTATCTGAGAAAAATAAATGGTAATTTCAGGGCAAGCCCTCCCCTTCTTCAACATGAATTTTACTAAGGACAAGAGTTTCAAAATATTGTTAATGCTCTTGAAAAAGATAATCTTGAACAGTCATATTTAAGATGTGCTAAGTTAGCACAGCCCTGCATTTCACCTCCTTCCCTAAGCCGAGCTACCTGTCTTATGAACTCACTGGAAGGATGCCGTTTTCCCTTGCTGTTCTGAGTAAACGCCTGTAGTAGAAAGTCATGCAACCAGGACCAGATCAAGTCCCACGGACAGAATTTGTTAATCTTCCTAGGCAGGAAGTCTTCCTGGGAAAATAAGCTTTTAGGTAACAAGACTTTCAGCCAACAATACTTTCAGCCCTAACCATCATGCGTGTTCTCCTAGCTGCCAAGCCATGAATCTCTATCAATTGAGAACTGGTTTCTTTTTCCCTTCTATAAGAATTCCAATACCAGCTATACATAATACTTAATTTGGTTTGAGTACAAGTAATTCACAGGAAAGGAAACAGAACAAGGATTTCAGAAGCTGAAGTAACTTCATACATATCAGAATCCTTGTTTGTACAAGAGTGTGTTTGAATTCTAAGTACAGGTTTCCTAAAGAGAAACATTAAAATACATTGCTATTTTAAAAAAATACCTTCAGATAAGCTTAGTTCTGAAAAAAATTTTCTTCACCCCTCCAATTCCACTCCAAAGACTATAAAGATAATACCATCTTCTCATGCAACCCCAGTGATCTGAGATATTACCAATTTTGTGATCTGTATAAACGATTATAACAAAGTAATACAGAAGTTGGGGGGTGTGGGAGTGGGGAGATGGCATTAGAAAGGGTTAGTATCATTTGTCCAAAACTCTGAGTTTCATACTATTATTCTTCATAACAATTAGGAAAAAAGTTGTTCCACCCCATCCCAAGTGTTATGACGTGCGAGAAGGCTAGTTTTGATTACACAGGAAACAAGATAAATGATTTGAGATAAATAATTTTCCTTTTGTTTTAATTAAGCATGTGTTTCTGAAACTGCTCTCATACTCATTTAAAAAAGCTTCCTGAAGGAAAAGAACTGAGGGAGTTCCAGAAGAGAAAGGGACTTAGAAAATGGAGAAACATTTAGGAA